TGGAACTAAAGATACTATTACACCTTTAAGCCAATTAAAATTAAGTACTAAAACCATATAGGTAAAAATCAATAGCCCATGAAAAAAGTGTGAAGAAAGCACTGCTAACTGTTAACACGTTTTACAGTTAACTACTCTCCTCAGCTCACTTCTTTTTCTCATCATCAATATAAGAGATCCTCCACCCTTAGCAGCAGAAATATGCTAATGCAATTAAATAATTCCGCAGCCAATACTATTTTGAAAGATTACCACAGACGACACATTGAAATGTCAGAGATATCTTGATTAGCGTGAAACTCCTAACAAAACCGTGAAAAAACTAGCCTATTCTAGCAAGAGATGAATAACAAGGCTCTTTGTCAACTGTTTAAGACTGGGAACAGGACGACTTCCATTTAAAGATGCAAGAATTAGGAACAATCCATAAGAGACGCATCTGCTTCAAAGTCTGCGACTGCTGAGGAATCTTCAGTCTACCAGAAAAACTACCAAATGAACCCCGGTCCGGTGGATGAAGATTATTTTCAAAAGTTCTACAAGGTTTGACTAATCTACATGTGGTAGTGCTTGTTATTTTCGGCTTCTCACTATGAAAATTCTCTCATTACCGTTCTAGAGAGCAGATCCTCCAAAATTTAATCTTTTTTAGTGTAAAGCCGTAACTCCATTACATCTTTTAAACAGCACAAAATAGATGTCACACTTCACTCAGCAAAATTCATTTCAAAACCCTTCCGCCTCTTGAAAACCAGTTTTAACTAAACCCTACCTTCCATCTGAACAACGACCTACAAAATTCTCCTAAACAGTTAAGGTAGCGAAGTGAGAATTAAACAAATAATGTAGGATGATTGCCTACGTCTTCAAGAAATGAAAAAATGACTCAAAAGTCCCTGTAAATTCTTGAAGAAAGTTAGTCGCAGTGCTACACCACACAAGCCGCAAACAGATGAAAATTAAAGAAACACTGCAAATTAAAAATCAAGCCTTTTAAGTTTTTTAATAGCTGATGCGAAACAAGAAAAGGATATTATTTAATTGGGAATCAGAAGCCTGCGTACATCATCATTCCTCATTTCTCGCTACAAATCACTCAAGCAATAAAAAATTTCTATTCACAATGAAAAAATCTTTCGGGAACGTATCTGACGTGAAAAATAAAAGATATAGTGACTCTGTCGTGTTTGATGTTGTTTTATTTGAAGGCATTTCAAATTTTAGTCCCAGGATGCGGGTAATGCCCAAAAATGCAACAGCAACCGCTGCTTAGCAAAACGAATACATAACGGCTTTAAAAACCCTTTATAGTTGCATCGCTTATATCTAATTTTACAACCACAAGTGTAAATTACACACTTCCATTTGAAGGAAAATTTGAAAACTAGTAAGAAAATTAAAGGAATACCGCAGGCTAAAATAATAATTTGATCATCATGAGCCCATGTAAGCGCTGTAATATCCCGTTTTGTAGATACAAGAGATTGCTGAGAAAAGATGACTGTCCCTTTATAGTCAATTACAAATAATCTATTATCAGTCGTCGCTAATGCCAGTAAATCACCAGCTGCATTCCATCGCATTGAAACAATAGGATCTGGACTTTGCCAAGTAAAAGGATCTACCTGAAAAAACGGAAGACTATAACAACTAACACTGATAAAAGTAACGGTAGTCCAAAATACAATCTTTTAAAAAATTTAGCACTGGTAGTTAGGAATAAGAATAAGGACATTGTCAGGTCTATATAAAACAAACCATATTTTCATATAAACCTCTTCCAATTGATGTTCTAAAAAGGGAAGCAGTAGTCTAGGTTAATTCCAACAAACCAACCTCGTCGTATGAGTTCAAGAGCATGACCACATTTGATGAGAATCCGACTGCAAGAGTCCATTTCCGACCAGGGCGAAAAGAGGAAGCGGCAAGATGTTCAATAGAACTAGGCTTTGATGGTGTATCTAACAAAGAAAATAAAGATCTTTCCGTAATTGTTGATCCTAAAAAAAAATTAATCAGCGTTCAAAGAAAATAAAATACAGTTCCCACCTAAAGTTTTACTCCCAAAAAACAATAAAGGCATGTATGAGACGAGCTTTCACTACCACTATTTACAGTGTGTTTAATGAGTGAAAAAATATAAAATAAACAACGAAACTAAGGTGAAAAAATGACAAGAATTTCTGATACATTAAATATGAATTTCCAATACTTTATAGCCATAAACGATTTATTTTGCTAATTTGCAATTTGCGACCATAATTCCCCCCAAAACTTTCTTGAAGCAAGTTACTACTAATGAGGTATTCCTCTGGTTCAAGAGATCGCACTCTTCTCAGTCCTTATTCACTACCCAAAAAATGTTTTACGCGAAAGGTCTAAAATGCGAAAACAGAAATAAAATTTCGTGTTTCAGCTCGAGTAAAGTTTACTATAGTCAAAACAAATGAGTAATGTAGTAAAAAGAAATCGAGTTATATA